CTAAACTGCTGCGGCGGAGCAGCCCGGAGTGCATGGCATCCTCCTCCATACCCGCTTACCCTGCCCGACTGTAACCAAGAGGGGTGAATAAATAGTGTTTTTACTGAATGCTAGTTGAGAGGTTTACTGCCTGCACCCTGCCCTTTCCCTTAGGATTTGTTCAGAGCAGAGTTCTGTGGTGGAAGTTGATGCTCCTTCTTCCTTTTGGTGCTTGGCGTTGCCTTCTGTGTGCTGAAACTGTCACAGAGAAGCTGATTTCTGTTGTTAAAAAAATGTTTTGTTTCGGATGCGTCGTATGGAGGCGTCACACTGACACCGGGAGCTCCCAGAGGCCCATGGCTGTTGGGTTGGGAGAGGTACTGGCAGGGGGGTGGATAAGGTGGATAACTTCGGTTGTGTCAGAAGCAGCCCAGTGCAGTGTCCCAGAGGGACTGCCGGTGATGGGGAGAGACATTTCTGAGAGGGAAAGTTCCTGCTGCACGCATTCTCCCCTCTCCTGCTTTGTTAGTAGGGATTTTCTATGGAAGCAGAGTCTTTGTTCCTTCCAAGTGCTCCTGGTCAGCCTCCTTTGCTAGGAAATGAGCAGGAACAGCAGATCTTAGGAAACAAAGGTCTTTTTTGCATGTAAATGCTCCTGAAGAATGGCAGCAACCCGGGAGACAAAGCAAAGCTCTTCCCACAGAGAAATGCAGGTCCTGGCTTCATTTCCACCCCCTCTGCAGTGCTGGGGGGCTGACAGGGTCCTGTTCCTCACAGAACCACCCAGGCTGGACCAGAGAACCATGGGCTGGGACCTGCAGCTCCGAGGTTGCAGGTGGACTAACCTGGCACTGTTTTCTTTATTTATGAAACTGTATGCTGGGAATTTGACTGGGAGCAGCTTCTTACCAGTTGGACCTGTAAGTGGGAGGGGGGCTGGTTGTGTATTGTTGGTTTCTTTTTGGCTGTCTTTGTTTTTAGTTTTCCCTTGCCATTAATAAAAACTCTACTTTTGGGAAGCTGCCCACGTGGCACAGATCTGTGCTTCCTGCTGTGATGCTGTGGCTGCCACAGGGGCTTTGCTCCCATTAGCAGCACTGGACAGAGAGTGATGCCTCCCTACAACCTTGGTATTCCCCCCTGGGCTCCTGTGATCCGCTTAGGTCAGGGATTTGGGATTGCTCTGTTCACTCCTCCAAGAGCAGCAGGGTTTGCATGAGGCAGCTCTGCTCTCTGACCCCTGTGCTGTCTGATCTCCCGAGGCAAAACAGGAGACAGGGCTCAGCTCCTGTAATTCCAGCTTTTTCTGGTCCTGATATTTGAGGCTGGTGCAGGAGGATCTTTCTGCCACCTCACCAGGACTCGGGGCTGAGCCACACTCCTCCTTGAGAAGCACTTTGGAGGAGTGGAGGCAATGTCCTTGGGCCCTCAAATTCCTCACTAGAGGAGCCCAGGCACAATCCCCATGCACGAGGCAGAGACACAGTCAGCATTCCCTGCCCCAGCTCTTCCCAGGCAGTATCTGCCTTTGTCCTAGGGCTGGAAAAGCTTCTATTGTCCCAGGCTAAGGAGCTTTTGTAGGCGTTTGAGGAGCCTTCAGGGAGGGCCAAGGCCCTGTTCCTCCCAGAGCAGCCATTGCTGGGGGCTGCAAAAAAGAAGTCGGTGCTGTTGTGGGAGCACTGGAAGGGCAGCAAGTTAAGAGGATGAGAGAGCTGGGGTGGTGCAATTCAGAGAAATTCCAGAGAAAAACATGCCTGGGGAGCTGGAATTTAACCCTTTATAGCAGGGTAGCTAAAACTGGGGCTCAGCCCTGTGCCAGTGTGGGTCTGGGAGCTGTGTCCCAGCCAGAGCATGACTCATGTCCCCAGTGCTCAGGACAATGGTGGGAGCTGTGAGGAACAGCTCAAACCCCTCAATACCCACCCAGCTCTGGGTGTTTCCCTCCTGTGGGATCAGCCCCGGGATTTCCCCTGGATGCCACCCCCAGTGCTATCCTTTCCCCCACAGACAGGGCTGAGGCAGCACCATCTGCTCGAGCAGATGTAACTTTATTTCACAGCCAAGACCCGCACAGGACAAGGGGGGCTCAGGACTCTCGTGTGGGCTTGGACTCAGCTTTGCTTTTCAGCCTCTTCTTTCTGTTCCTCTCTTTCCTCCTCCCCTTCCCGCTGGCAGTAGGGACCGGGGATGGAGTGGCTGGTGTTGGCTCCCTGCCTAAGCCCTTCTGCACTGGGGCATCACTCAGGATAGTGTTGGACGCTTCCTCCCAGGATGGCAGCAGAGCCCAGGGGTCGTGGCCCGCAGAGGGATCAGCGGGGGCAGCAGGTGCAGGACGGCTCTGCGCCCCCTTTTCAGGAGGGCCTTTCTTTTTCAGACCTTTTCCTTTCTTTTTCTTGTCTTTCTTCTTCCCCTTCCTCTCTTTCTTGGCTGACTTGAGGGCTGTCTCAGCGTGGTGGTCTTCAGGGAGGGCTCCTCCACCCACGCTGTTCCAAGGGGGGCTCAGAGGGACCCCCCTGGGCCTCGCTGCCCGGTCGATGAGCTCCCCACCAAACTCGTACAGCCCCAGCGGCTCCCTGGGCACTGCGACGGCCACCGTGTTGTACGCCTTGCACCTGCAGAGAGAGGAGCCACCAGGTGAGGTGACCTCCAGTGGGGCCAGGCGGGGGGACAGCGGTGGGAGCCACTCACCAGACGTAGAGGTAGGGCTCCACACACTCCTCCTTGTAGGTGAACTCGAAGCAGGGCACCTGGATGACGTTGAAGAAGGCCTGGCCCACCGCCCGGGAGGCCGTGTCGTTCACCCTCCGCAGGCACTCCTTCAGCCTGCGGTCGCAGTCGCAGTGGCTGATGGTGTGCCAGCGCAGGTTGCGGTACCCGTAGCGCGCGGTGAAGGGGTGGATGACGTGCTGGCAGTGGTCATGGTCCCGGCAGCACCGGTCTGTGTCCCGGTGCTCCCCTGCAGGGAGGTGCAGGCAGAGCTGAGGGGCCTGCGTGCATGGGCTGGGGCTAGATGGGGTTGGGATCAGGGCTGCAGAGGGGCTGAGCTGCGCTAGGACTGGGATCGGGGTTAGATTTGACTGAGCTGGGCTTGGAATCATAGTGGGATGGGTAGGGACTGCAACTGAACTGGTGCTTGGGTGTGGACAAGGCTAGCACTGGAATGGGGACTGGAGCTGTACCAGCATCACAGTGGGGATGAGACTAGGACTAGGCTGGGGTCAGGAAGGGGACCAGGACCAGGAGACTGTCTAGGCTGGGATCAGGATAGCAACTGAGAGTGCACCAGCACTGGGATGGGGACCGGAATGGGAGTGGGATAGACCACAGATGAGGCTGGAGACAAAGAGTGGATCAAGACTAGACCAGCACAAAGATGGATTAGTCTTGTGATAGGGACTAGGCAGAGAGAAACTGGGACTGGACTGGTGCTTGGCTGGGGACTGAACTGGGGCAGACAGGGATTGAACTAGCATGGGGATGGGGACTGGAGTATATCAGCACTGGGATGCAACTGGATCAGGATTGGTGGGGACTTACCCAGCACTGCACTGGGGACTGGGAATGGGATGGGAATGGAATGGGAAGAGATGGGATGGGATGGAACTAGAGGGAAGGGATGGGATGGGAAAAGATGGGATGGGAAGGAAAGAAAGAGAGTAGATGGAAGGGAGTGGAATAGGAAGAGCTGGGAGGGATGGGATTGGATGGGGTGGTAGGGATGGGTTGGGAAGATACAGGTAGCAGCTACCCCGCTGCCCTTACCCAGCTCTTCGTAGGTATCCGCGTTGCTGCCCGCGCCGCACCACAGTGTCCCGGGGTAGGTGAGCCCGCGGCGGGCGCGGGGCCGTCCCGGTGGGGCCGCTCCGGGGGCGACTGCCAGCGGGAGGAGGAGAAGGAGGAGGAGGAGGCGGAGGCGGCGGAGCAGCCCCGGGGCGCACATGGCACCGCGCGCTCGCTGCCGTGGGGCCGCCTTATAGAGTCGCGCAGCCCGCCACACGCGGGGCGGCCCGGCAGCGGCTTGGCACGGCCCCGGCCAACCGTGCGGAGGGTCCCCCGCAGAGGCCGGGTGCTGGACCGCCCCGGAGCCGCGCACTGTCCCGCCGGCAGCCCCGCGGGTAAGGGGTTCACCACCTCCCCGGGGACGGCCCGTTTGGCTGTGGCAAGCCGGTGGGGTGATGTGCCGGGGCCGGTAACGAGCCGTCCCCAAGAACCCCCGCCCCGTGACGTGCAACTCCCCCCTGCAAGCCCCGGCCCCGGAGTGGCCCCGACAGGAGAATGATGCTCTCCCTGCATCCCTAAGTCCCATTCCACGGATGCTTCCTGCAGCCCTGTATCCCAGCCCATATGTGCTCTCTGCATCCCCATGCCTGATCCTGCAGATGCTCTCCACATCCCATCCCATGAATGCTTATGGCACCCCCACATCCCATCCCATGGATGTTCCCTGTGGCCCTGCATCCCATCCCACTGTTCCTTTCATGGGACAGCCCAGTGCCTCATGCCCAGCCGGGCTGGCAGCCCACAAGGCACCGGTATTCCCAGCACGCTGCCAGGTCTGTCCCTCTTGGCCAGCTCCGGGCCTTGGAGCCCATTGACAATCCAGACACAGCTCTGGCAAGCTGGGATGCTGTGGGAGCCAGCGTTCAGCCAGGGAGGACAGTGCCTGGACACCCCAAAATGGTGGTCTCAGAAAGTCCCTGCACTGACTGAGATCCCTCGGGAGTGCAGGGGAGTGCAGAGGCAGCACCCTGAGCATCACCCTGGCTCGCTGACCCTTGCGCCCATGGGGTACCTCGAGCACTGTGCCACCCACACCATGCCCTGGCACCGCTGGCACAGGCAGCCAGTGCTGGGGACACTCCTGCGGGGTGCAAACACCCAACCCTGGTGCTCCCCACCACAACCCTGCCTGGCTGGGACGCATCCCCAGCCCATGGGAAGGGCTCCCGCCTGGCAGCAGCCCAGGGCCCAGCTGGCCAAGGGCACTGGCAGGGGCCCAGTGCTGCAGGGGCTGCCCCTGCTCAGCTGTCGCTGTCTGTGACGGTCCCATTCGGCTCAGCTTCGCCACCAGCACCCAGGTACGGAGCTGAAAAAGGCACACTGGGCCCTCAGGGTGCCCATGTGTGGGCGTGGGTGGGGAGGGTGGGGGACACCGTGCCACAGGGAGCCCTTTGGGGGCTGCAGGTGGGGAGTCTCACCTCCATTACGTGCTCAGTGCTCGCAGCGCCTGCAGTCCCCACACATGGACCTGTGTCACGTCCCTGCTGCCCGGGAGAAGGGCTGGTACCTGGCGCTCATGGCCCCCAACGTCAAGGGTCCCAACTACGCCTGGCTGGACCCCTCCCGGCTCTACTGCCACCCGCAAGTACCCAGTGCCCGGGGCAGGTGGCCCCCGCGGGGGTGCTGGGGTGGGCTGC